TTCAATTAATGCTCCACACACTGTGGGTGAGAATAAAATTATCACCAGTGAGACTTCTCCAAAATTGTAAATGATTTTTGAGCTGACCTGCCAAGAAGCCATCTTTCAACAAAAGTAATTGGGAGACAATTGAATGAGAGAACAAATCCCAGTCATCACAAGAAATAATATCACATACCACATCATTTAATTTTTGCTTTTCTTGTCGTGGGTTTTGGATGATGACCACTTGCTGGTTTGGTTGGATCCCGCTCCTCTGCAGGGGGCTCTTTTCCCTGAAAAAGACTTGCCCTTGTAGTTGGAAGAATATCTGGAATTTCCCTTGAAATTGGTATTATCGGAATAACTATTCCCAGAAGGGCTGTAATATGACATTCGTGAGCCCATTTGATTAGTTTCTTTTAGTTCTTTCATTTTCTTTGGTAAATCTTCACCAAAAAGATACTTAGATGCACCAACTTCTGAGTTGTTAGCAGCACTACACAATAGACTTGAAAACCGAAAATTAGAATCTGAGCGCATGGTATCAACGTCTATGCTGATTCAAGTCCTTTAGAGCCTTACCTAACAAGGTTAAGGCATCTAAACTCTTTTTGTAGCACTGGTAACTTCAGTTTGTTTGTCCAGAGGTGCAGATGTTTTGAATTTCATCAAATCATCAGTAAGTGCATAGGAAGATAGCACAATCCTGTCACTCAACCTCTGCAACCTAACCTCAGTGGTTCTAATAGGAAATTTTCTTAATATGCCCCACACTTCTTTGTTTACTCTGGGAGAGTAAATAGCCACATTAATAGGTCTTGGATATTTTTCGATAAATTTAGTCATTGCTGTTTCTGCCTTGGCACTAGCGGCCGGGGCTGGTGCAAAGAGATTATCAATAATTTTAGCTAATTTGGGCAGAACCTCTTTCACAGATTTATCATCAAAGGAATACTCCTCCAACAAATCATTTACAAAATCTTCAGCAATACCCTCTTCATCATTAGATTTCGGGGAAGGGAGGGTTTGATTCTCCCAAATGTACAGGCCTAGGGTGGAGCAGACACTTTATTCAGAAATTAGGATTAGGGGTCTTGATATTGGGTTTTCTTCTGTTCTCATTCTGATCTGAAATTAGAAAAAAATAAGAGAAGTATAGAATCTGTTATGTACTGATTGTTTTTAGTTTACTATGAACAATATTATCATTTAAGTTCTTATTTTTTGAATATGCAACTATCATTTTCTGCTTATAGACATGGGGGAATTTCTTTTGAAGGCTCTTATAGTGGGCATGAACTATCTTGCTTGCTCGATTGCTGGTTGTATTAAACAGGACAACAAAGGGTGCTATGCCTACATTATGATGAATATTTAGTCCTATAGGTCTTGCTGTATTCAATGTCTCAATCCAATGGGCCTCCCTAGATTGACGGAATTTGGTAGTTTCATCTTCGGGCAAGTCAATTTCTATACGCTCAATTGGGATTAGGGTGAGATCGTCTATTGAATGGTCGTCGAGGTTGAAATGATTAGAAACAGGCTTGTCTTTCTTTAATTTGATGTCTGACCTATGAGCATTAAAGCGAGTTCGTAAATTATTCTTAGTTTCTCCTACATATTGTTTGGGGCATTTCTTGCATGAAATTAAATATATTACATTCGAATGTTCACATGTTAGATGTTCCTGGATCGGGTACCTTTTATTCATACAGTTGCTTACAAAATAATGAGTTTCTGATATAAAGGGACATGTTTTGCATCTACTGGACAAACATGGAGCACTTCTTAAACCTGGAGGTACTTCGGCATAAAGTCTGTTTTTAGCTGCTATCTGTGCTAAGGTGGAATTTTTTATGTTTCGTAAAAATCGTTTAGAGTACCCACGCTCTTTCAGTTTTGAGAAAACAATCGTACAGGCTTGGTTGAAATCAGAAGATCTTGTACAAATTCGATGAAATCGTAAAACTTGTGACTTAATTATACCAGAAAAGGTATGTTTTGGGTGAAAGGAGCTCTTGTGCAAGAGTTGATGAGTATCAGTTTCTTTGAAATACACTTTAATATCCAGTTTATTTGTTTCTGCTATGGAATCTCCCTTAAAGACTGTGGTATCGAGAAAGTCTATGCTTTTGTCACTCACGTTTGCGGTTAGTTTGATAGAAGGATGGTGGTTGTTGAGAATTTCAAAGAATTCCCAAAACTGTTCGATAGAATAAGTCCAAACCATAAAAATGTCATCCAAAAAGCGTCCGTAAAAAAGTGGGTCAAATGGACAGAGGGGCAACACCTCACGTTCCCACTCTGCCATGAAAAGGTTTGCGTACGAAGGGGCGAATCGTTTGCCCATTGCTGTCCCTGAAAGTTCCCCGTCTTACATTTCATGGGCAGCGCCATGTTTGTTGTGATGATCAGCAGCAATTTTCCTTTTCCTGTCGCTTACATCATGTACAGTAGAGCTAATAACCTCCGTAAATAAATTCTTTATTTCAGATTTGAATTTAATCAACTCGCTTTTGAGGTAACAAAGCAGATATCATTCTTGCTATTGAGAATATCTTCCGGATCTGTACCAAATCCACCAATAGCAAACCCCACTTCAGCTAAGGTCATAATCTAAATCCAAAAAAGATTTGAAAAGTGAAGGCAGTAAATATTACATTATTAAATTCTAAAATCAGATTCTATGAGGGTAATTATTATAGACAATGGAAATCAATCTACCATAGAATTTGAATTAGATTTCCATATTCCCTATGAACAAATGATCGTGTTTGACTCACCGAATTTTGGATGGCCTTTATTTCCTGTGAGATAACCTCACTACGTGATCTTCCTTTCAGAAGAGTACAACGAAGTTCTTTAGACTCAGTCTGAAACTTTTTGACAGAGGCTGGGTCTAAAGACTTCCATTGTTCCCCTAATTTTTTCAGATAGTCTCCGCCATCCATATCACCTTAAATTATAAAATCATTTATGTAATTTCAGCTCCACTATAAATACTGTCACTTTACTTGTGAAACTTTACACCCAATCCAATTCAGCAACATGCCAATTTTAATAGTTAAAGGGACTGACGCACAATTTGAGGTGTTTATTTGAGTCTTCAGAAGTACTAGAAATGTTTGAAAACCACATAATTCCTTAAAAATTATCTCAAACTAGGAATTACTATTTCCTGATGTCTTTTCTATATGGCAGTGTCCAATAAAAACACGATTGTCTTTTTGACTTTCAAACGGACAAACATGGATTTGAAGGCTCAAATTTTGTTGGCGAGTTGTGAACACTATTACTGATTTGTTTAGCTAAAATATTCCTGTTTCTGAGACTAAAGTATGATTGATCAAAAACTGGTACACCGGTCCCTTTAATATTTTTTTTTAGCACATTCAAAGTGATAGAAGCTTCAAAAATCAAATTTAAAGAAATATAAAATAAATAACACAAATTGCCAGTACCGTATCAGATAACTTACATCAAAATATGTTACATGATCGACAACAACCAAGTCTACCAGAATTAAGACATGAAATAAAAATATTGACAACCTACCTTTTGGTTGACCAGAGGCAAACAGACTGTAAGCTGTGGGCCCCCTTGAATACTTTCTACATTTAGGATACATTTTAGATTTCAGGGAAGGGAGGGTTTGATTCTCCCAAATGTACAGGCCTAGGGTGGAGCAGACACTTTATTAGGAAATTAGGATTAAGGGTCTTGATATTGGGTTTTCTGACAACCTACCTTTTGGTTGACCAGAGGCAAACAGACTGTAAGCTGTGGGCCCCCTTGAATACTTTCTACATTTAGGATACATTTTAGAGTTTCCATTCTGTATCCTGTTTTGCTTAGCCCGTCTGTTTCCTATCCATACCTAAAAATTTGAAACACAGATTGATTTTTAATGTTTTACAGAAAATATTTAACCTTATGAAACAGCATTAAGATTTACCATTAGCATACATATTTTCAAACTTAAAACTTATATTTTCTTCTGTATTTTTGAAACTTACAAGATAAATCAAAGCAATGTCTCCAAAATTTTGAAGTATGTAAGGTTTTAAAAGTTTATGATGTAAGCTTAAATGCATTTTTAGGTTACAGACAGTAATGTTGTTACAGATGTCCATCTTAATTGTCAAACTTACTTTAACCTTGTCTTCAGATAACTCCAGTTCTGCAGCCACTTTGACAATCAAGGTATGGCATGACTTTTTAGTACTTGTCATGCCATTTTCCATGCCTCTTCCAGCTGATGCAACTGAGCAGAATGGTTTTAGGCCAAAGTACAAAGTATGGATCCGAACCGCAAAACAAAATCCGAAATCATTTTGACGCATGAGACATTTTAGATCTCAATAGATTGAAATTCAAAACAGGGTGTAGGGTGGTAGGGGAGGGGGCATACTCCGGGCCAGCCAAATTACTGAGAGGGCTACGGCTCCCTGGCCTAGATCTTTTGTCTCGATTCTAAATCTCGATTGATCATTCGCGTGCATAGCCTGACCCCATCCGCAACAAAACGTGATCTTGGCCTAGCATCCCCCATCCCTCCGCCATTGGCCCCCGTAGAAAAACTTCTGGTTCAATCTAAATAGATTGTAGTCTTTTGCGTTTTGGAATTTCTATAAGCCCAGCTAAAAGATGTATAAAGATTGCCGGCGGTTGTTACTTACTTGTTCTATAGATGGTGTAGTCATGATTCTTGTCTTTCTTTTGCTAATTTGCTTCGCTTAAATTCGAGATGGATGAGCCTATTCTACTTTTTTCCCGCGCTCCGAACACGTTCGAAATTTTCATTGGTAGATTTATTTACTCACCGCGCATGTTGAACATGCGCACAGTGTAGGCCTTTTCTTATCTTTTGTTAGCCTTTTCAACACTCTACTAAAAGCTAATAGTTGTCTGTCAACAGTCAACAGTCAACTGTTGTTAGTCTTTGAAAGGGGCTAATAAGACAAATAATTTTCTCTTTGAGAGAGCTAATTTTACAGGATCGGGTGATAGCATTATACAGAATTGACAACAACACTCTTTGGGTTTGGAGAAAATGCTTTACTTATAACTTTGGAGATTATACTTATAACTTATAACTTATGATGTTCAAGAGGAGGAGAAAAATATTAAGCGCAACCTCAAGAAAATGAAAACCGACGGAAAAATCAATGTGAAATAAGATTATTCATAGCTGAAGTAACATGAAACATATCTACACTAATTTGCTTAATTTAATTCTGATAACAATTAGAACGCCAATCTCCATGTTGTTTGAGGAGTACCTCAGAAACACCTGCTTTGGTAGCAAGAGTAGCTACCATGACGTAACGAGTAGAAACTGTACAATTTTGGATCTAGACCAACTAATAACGCATTGAATCGTTTTAGCAACAAATGCTTAGAGATTGGACGAAGAGTGGAACCTTTTGGTAATGCAAAAATAGGATCATTGGAACTACCTGTTCCTGGAATCAATTATAAGCTAATACAGGAGAAATAGAAGGATGACAACATATGAGTAGGGGAAGTGTACCGATATTGAACCCCCTTAATACAATGGCATCTTCATTCTTAACGACTTTCTTTAAAACTTAAGACAAAAACATGAGGTTTACAGGTGTCCATAACATACTATGAATATAACGCCGTATCTTACTCCCGGGCAAAGAAAATCACCATTCGGTGATTTGGGGCATCGGTCCAATTTGAATACACTGTGAAACAAATTGAACCACGTGTAGATACAAATTGGACCACTGGTCCAATTTATATCTTCAGTTGGTTCAATATATATCTTCCATTTGGTTTGATAGTAAATTAATTATAAACCACGAAACATTGTTTTTAAACCTTGAACAAATTTACATTAGCATGTATAATATGAAAATGTGAAATTGTCTTCATGCCCATGGCGATTTCAGACCATTTAATGGAAAGCGACAGACCCAAGTCAAGGATCTGAACACAACCTTTTGTTAATTGCTCATAATGCGAAAATGTGGCAGGAGTTCGACTGATTAAATTGGAAGCACGTAACATGCAAAAGAAAACAGGAGTCAAAAACGACCAAAGACATGAATCTAAATAACTGTACTTATCTAACAATGCTACAATTCTAGACAAATGTTCAGGTAACAGACGTAATTTTGAAATAGGTGTATGTCTGTTCAAATGATTAAGATCACGCAAAGTTAAGGCAACTTCTGTATTCTCAAAAACTGAAATATCCATTAGGAGAAGCTGACACCAAGTTTTTAATCCCGAAATATAATTCCTCAAGGAGGCATAGTTCTTCAATAAATATCCAATTGAAGCTCGACACAATCAACCTAATACAGGAATTCTTAATCTGCATCATCAACCAGGATGCAATACATGGTCAAGACTTTTTTATGAACCATGCTAGTCCAATTGATTAACAAAATAAAACATGGAATATAAAAGACAGAGAAATACCATGTTAGGTGGGAGGCGAAGCACAGATGGTATGTCGAGTGGAGGTCAATTATACCCGAAAACAGTGGCATACTTGTGCCAAGTTAGAATAAATGGTGCGCAACTCTCGAATTCACCCTATGCATTTCGTTCCTGGAATTATAAGTACAAAGTCAATACAAATACAATAAATTGCACAGATAACGCAGATAACAGATTCCAAGTCATCTCATCGTTCTTCTTCAAAAAACACAGAACACCCCAGTGAAGGTCAAACTTTCAAGCTCAGAGAATTACTTATCAAGTATCAACATGTTTTCTCCAAATCATCAGCCGACATTGGTAGAACTGATAGATTTCGGGGAAGGGAGGGTTTGATTCTCCCAAATGTACAGGCCTAGGGTGGAGCAGACACTTTATTTAGAAATTAGGATTAAGGGTCTTGATATTGGGTTTTCTTCTGTTCTTATTCTGACTGAAATTAGAAAAAATAACTCGCCCCATGGGCGAGCAGTATAGTATCTGTTATGTACTGATTGTTTTTAGTTTACTATGAACAATACTATCATTTAAGTTCTTATTTTTTGAATATGCAACTATCATTTTCTGCTTATAGACATGGGGGAATTTCTCTTGAAGGCTCTTATAGTGGGCATGAACTATCTTGCTTGCTCGATTGCTGGTTGTATTAAACGGGACAACAAAGGGTGCTATGCCTACATTATGATGAATATTTAGTCCTATTGGGATTGCTGTATTCAATGTCTCAATCCAATGGGCCTCCCTAGATTGACGGAATTTGGTAGTTTCATCTTCGGGCAAGTCAATTTCTATACGCTCAATTGGGATTAGGGTGAGATCGTCTATTGAATGGTCGTCGAGGTTGAAATGATTAGAAACAGGTTTGTCTTTCTTTAATTTGATGTCCGACCTATGAGCATTAAAACGAGTTCGTAAATTATTCTTAGTTTCTCCTACATATTGTTTGGGGCATTTCTTGCATGAAATTAAATATATTACATTCGAATGTTCGCATGTTAGATGTTCCTGGATCGGGTACCTTTTATTCGTAGAGTTGCTTACAAAATAATGAGTTTCTGATATAAAGGGACATGTTTTGCATCTACTGGACAAACATGGAGCACTTCTTAAACCTGGAGGTACTTCGGCATAAAGTCTGTTTTTAGCTGCTATCTGTGCTAAGGTGGAATTTTTTATGTTTCGTAAAAATCGTTTAGAGTACCCACGCTCTTTCATTTTTGAGAAAACAATCGTACAGGCTTGGTTGAAATCAGAAGATCTTGTACAAATTCGATGAAATCGTAAAACTTGTGACTTACTTATACCAGAAAAGGTATGTTTTGGGTGAAAGGAGCTCTTGTGCAAGAGTTGATGAGTATCAGTTTCTTTGAAATACACTTTAATATCCAGTTTATTTGTTTCTGCTATGGAATCTCCCTTAAAGACTGTGGTATCGAGAAAGTCTATGCTTTTGTCACTCCCGTTTGCGGTTAGTTTGATAGAAGGATGGTGGTTGTTGAGAATTTCAAAGAATTCCCAAAGCTGTTCGATAGAATAAGTCCAAACCATAAAAAT